CCAGCCATTATTAGTCTCAAAGTGGGTTCCTCGTCATCGAATTATGTGTATATGTTTGTGTGTGTGTATATATAGACATACACACACACATGGCTGCTTAAAGTTTTAAGTACATTGGTATTGTAGCATTCAACTTTTTCAGCAGTTGTATAATTCATTTCTGTTAGGATTTATCCCTCAACAACTATAATTATGTACATTTATGTTCAATGTATTAATTATCCATTAAATGTCTCTCTCTACAGAAAATGTGACTATTTCTTACTTAATTTACATCAGTTCAATCAGCATTATGCACCTGAGCTATTCATACCTGATAATGAAAGATGATCAGTATGATCCTCTCTTACTTTAGCTCTTCAGTACATTCAATAATAATAAAACAAAAGATAAATCCAGTTGTTCATTTCATCCTTTTATTAACTTAACAATAGTTAATATTCTTCATAAATAAGAAAAAAAAACACGGTTCTTCATAATACAAGTTTATATAACACAGTTTTCTTCTAGCTATATTAAAATAAACAGTTGTAATGTTAATGTTTTTTTAAAAGCATATTTAAAAATCAATGCAAAATAGCTGTGATGATACAAAAAACAAAAGTTAAAATTAATGGAACATTTCATTCAAGGAATTAAGTTTCTAATATCAATTAAAAACTTTTATTTAACCAATAAAATGTTAACTGTATTTATTCTTTTGCTGGTACATTACCTAAAAATATCTATTATTGTAAAAACTGTTTATAATGTGGTCATAAATACATAAAAATTACAAGCCTCATCAAAATCATTAAACAAAAAAAAAAAGATGCCAAATACATAACTTATTTTGAAATACCTAACATATGCACATCACTGCTTTCAAAATGTACAGTATACTAGTAAAAGGGGCAATAAGTTAGTATACTGGAATACTGTGTAAGCAATGTTAATGGTTTCATGAAAAAAAAAAACATATATCAAGTCAAGCTTGTTAAGTATTTCATAAAGCTGCAACTAACCACTTATGCAATACTGCATTTTAACATAAATACATAGCTTTTAATTAATAATATATAGCATTATACTTTAGTAAATTAATTTTGTATAAAATTACACTAAATGATATTTTTATATATATATACAGAAGCTCACCGAAGTACTAACATCCTCAAGTATCTGGGAATCTTTTCCTTTACGTTGAAACTTGGGAAAGTTTGTTTGTTTAGCAAAATGTAGACTAACAGCTGCTGTTGCTATAGCATTGATTATCATATCCATGGCAGCAGCTTCCATTGATTTTTGGGCAGCGGGAAGGATTTTCTGAAGTAAAAATGATCAAATACAATACATAAACACATTCTGAGTTTATAAAAATGTAAATATTACTATTATTATACATGCTGAATTTAACAATACACTGTTTTATAATTTTTTCATGAAGATATACCACACTAGCAAATGAATGCAACATTATATATATATAAATACACAAAATCCTAGTGATAAAGCAGGCCTCGACAAATATTTTCACATCTCAGAGCCAGCCCAAAAACTTAGGAGCCAGGTCGAATTATTTAAAAGTTATAGAATATATTTTGAGTCAGTTATGTGGTTAAGGTATGAGACATACAGTTTTACACTAAAAAACAAAGGGTTCATTATTAAACTTTATTATATGTCATATATTAAAGTTAACCTTCAGCATGTGCAATTATTAAAATATTTGACTAAATAACTATAACTTAGGTGGATTTTTGCAATGAATGAAAGTAAAATAAAAATAATCACTGCGATATCAATAGGCCAAGCATGTTGTTTCAGAGTAGGTCTAATCTACTCATTACTACAGCAGTGTTCAATGATAAGCAAGGCCTTTTGATGTGCCTAATCTAACTCCACTACTGTTTGTACCAGGAAATGGGGGCTATATTTATTTACTTTCACAGCAACGAGTGCATGCTAACAATCACATGATATCAACAACCATTTGATAGTATTGTCTAAACTAACTGGCTTTGGTCCCACCTGAATCTAAACACACACACACACACTGATTGGTTGAATTGAGAGAAAAAAGAAAAACAAAATGGCAAGAAATTAGTAATGTGTTGTGCAGCCACAGTGCTTCATTCCTGAAGAAAACATGAAGAAGTGCTGAATCTGCCATTAAAATCCTAGAAACAATGTTTGATTTCATATTCAAAGAATGAGAAATAGTTCCAGACTTTCAAGAGTCCAGAGCTGTTCCAGATTTGAGTTATACTTAGCACATGAATAAAATGGGAGAAAATACTAGACGCCATGTTGAAATATTTAGTTGCCATGATGACCTGGCGCCTGGGATTTGTCAAAGCCTGTGATAAAGTATCCCTGTTTTTACAACTGGTGATATTAAAGTCTGTGATGGCATCTACAACTTGTGCATTTGTTTATATTGAACATATTTTATATTTAGATATTTAACACATTTCAGTCCAAGGGTTATATTGTTAATACACTAATGTACTACAACACTGTTCTTGAGATTTTATTGCTTAGACATATGTTACTCTTTAGTTTACTGATATCCTGACACCTACAAAATTAATTTTGAATATGTAATACATCAAAAGAGAAAATGCATGTGTGTGTGAGTGCCTAAATATACACATATACAGATAAATATCAACACATGCAAAAGCTGTATATGTTATCACAGATATTAATGCCACTGGCTGTACAAATACAAGGACATTATATCATTTGAATATCATATTATAGAGATAAAAGACATTTATTTGTAAATAAGGATGTAATAGTGCTCACAGATAAATGGTAAAATTATAACCAGCCTGAGTCTATTGTTACATTGTTTTTCTTCTGTTTAGAAATGTCAAAACCAAAATTGATATAAGCAAACTTTATTCTAATATTTGAAGTAAATATCAAATGAAACATACACGTAATATATTGAACAAATAAAACTTTAAAAAATATTAGTTACAATAACATACTAGAGAAGCACATTTCATCAATATTTTTGAACATGTCCACAAATTTAGGTATTAAATATTTTAAAAAAAACAACAACATGAATTTGGCCCTAACAAATAGAGTTCAATTCACACCAAGGAAGGAACTGCTACAAGTTCTTAACTCTCAGATTTTCTGTATATTTATACTAAAATTAATATAAACACTTAAAAATTCTTTAAACAACAACATAAAAATTTAATATATTTCTAACTTACTGGTGGTCCGTGAGAGGGTTTTAAAGTTAACTTTACATCAGGTCTTTCCACAAAACAAAAAATGAAAAGAAGCTCCTCTACATTACCGAAGACTTTTAACTGCAATGAAATGAAAAAGAAATTATTTTATGACCAGTTTCAATTACAATTTAAAATCTCTACAAATACAAAAAATACCTCTAAAAATCCCTAATGCATATGTGTAGCTGTCAACACTTTCATAATAGTATTTGTATTTTTTCTCACCATAAATTTTGTTTGTGAGCACTAATTTATCTTTTTCTAGGGAAATTATTTTAAAATTTACATTACAATTTAATTCAATTTTCTTTACTTTACAAAGATTTAACTCTAAAATTACCTTAAAATAAATGCACTATAAATAAGTATGCTGTCATGTGTGCTATACAAAATACATAACCACATTTTGTAACAAACAAACAAAAATTCACATTATTTAATTTGGCAATACAGTGAACTAGAAAAAATACTGGCATATAGTGAGAAGTAATTTTTTGGCCTTACATACTAGGAAAAAATTAATATGCCATGCATAGTGCCCAGAGCAATCCTAACAGCTGACTGACCTTTGTACATAAATGGTGTATTGTTGTGTTTATTAGTAACTGTATGCGAATGTATGAGTGACAACCATTGCCACCTAATTAACTATTTGACTTTATGAATAAACAAAGGTTGAACTCATGATCATCTGTAATTCGTGTATACACATTTTTAAACAATACCCTGCACATAAAGCACAGGAGAGTGAGAATGACTGATTGTTACTGTGAATGTATTGCAGCATAGGATAATAAAAAAATCATCTTTCGACCCTGTGCAAATACCACCATACTGGTAATAAACTATTTTGCTATTATATCACCTAATTAAACAAGTATTAATCTATTTTACTGCATAACTTAAATACTATTTGTTCATAGTTGTACACATATAACTAAATATTATCTGACTCTAATGTTAGTAATAGTAGGCCTATTTGTAGTGTAATTTATTCATTATGCCTAAATTAAATATAATATAAGACTTACCAAAACTTCATCACCTGAAAAATACTGGAAGAATGCTGTTCCCTCATATAGTGTGCACTTCATATTTGAGCCCAAAATTTTTTGAAAAAAAGTGCACACTGTACATGGGTATTTATGGTAAATGTAATTTGTAATTATTCATCATTGCCACAAAACAAGTATTTGACTGATGAACTATGCTAACAAATGCATATAACATTATGCATCAAATCTTAAAATGACTATACCCTTAATGCTATTTTTTCCACCTATTAGTTGCATGAAGTGTCCTACAAACCTACGGTAACTGTGTCACATTACAAACCAACAGGTTTAAAGAAAAAATGAAATATCGCTGTTTTTGACTGTTATCAAATGCTAAATGGAGAGGATCACAAGCTTTTTATTTAAATAAACAGAAGAGAGGCTTTTGGAGAAAGTTATTCTTTGCTCAAAGTTATATTCATATGTTCTTCTAGTAAGGGGAACTGATCTACTAATTTCCTTAATTCATGTAATTTTATTCATTTCTATAATATATACATACTAAACAGGTGTATGAAACATTTTACTTCAACATAATTCAATGGAAGTCAGGTTTAAACCTTTAACCCTTTCACAATGGGAGCCACTTTAAATGCTTTTATGTGCAAGTCATTGTGTTACATTCAAAATTTAATTAAACAGCTTTAATATTATAATGTATATTATGATTCAAAGTTATATTTTATCCAAGTTTAAAGTCTTTATTACAAAACAAATCTTTAAAAACTACTTCAGATGTATTTTCACGTGACCAAAGAGTTATGAAAAATCTCTACTTTGGCTCTCTGTATCTTCAATAATACAATGGTAATAGAGTAGAGGTACAATTAGCTACTAAGATGCTTCCATAAACTTTTGACTTGTTCCTTTCAAAGTACTCTGAATGAATACAGTTAAAACAAGTAATAAATTTTTTCAACCAATGAAAGCAGCCACACCCACCTTCAACAGATTTGTTAGAGCTTTATCTCTTCCATGTATACATTACATACATATGTGAATGTAACAATTAGAAAGAGCTCATTTTACGGTGTAAACTACCAACACTTATTATGAAATTGAAACCAAATCTTCATCCCAAAGTACATGAAATTGACTATAGTATTGCTAGCTATTTGAATGACTACAGCACTTATGGTTGTTTCTTACCTAAATATGTTACGGTTAGAGATACAGTTTAAATTGTATTTGGGTCTTACTATTATATTTTAATTAATTATGTATTAGATATGTTGTAAAATGCATAATTAAAAGATTTAAACAATTTTTTTACAGATACATCACACTTTGCATCCATTCTCAAGGCTTATGAGATTACGCGCTGAACAAAAATTTTGTCGAAGGGTTGTGCATGTCTCCCATAGAAACTGTTATATGCCTCGAGAGCACCACTTACTTGTGTCAAGATGAATAATAAGTGATAAAAGACAAGAAAGGAAAAATAAAACAATAAAAATTAACTATATGTGAAAAGGAAAAGAGCTGAAATTACGAATTTATTAAAAGGAAATGTTTTTAAAATATTCTACAAAAAATTAAAAGGTATGTTTTTTTTATATTTCCTAATTTTAATTATTTTATTGCATTGTACATTGATGATAATAGCTAGAGTTAGTGATATGGTAGAGAAAATGAAAAATAAAGTATAAACATTTACCTTAAAAATACTTTGCATATCCTTTTAGGAGGTTCTAGTGTTTATGCAAATGAAATATGAAAACTATAAGACAAAGAAAAGTATTTTTATACTTAAAATGAAATTGAGTGCAAGTGACTACACTAGAAAAATAACATATTTTTAGTAAAAACAATTATAATAACAATCATTCTTTGTGTACAAGATACTTATGATCTTTAACAAAATCTTACCAGTTTTTGAGAAGATTTATTATGAAATCTCAGAGTTACTGCATGTATTGTTGTACAAGTGAAATTTGTGACTCGATTTCCACAAATTGCATGAGCCCACTGTGAAAAGGTAAATTTGCACAGTGGTACACAGTGGCTCAGTATGGTAATGTTGGGTCTGATTTCTCTGAAAAACACCACATGGTGAAAAACAAATATTTACTGATATTATTTCCAGTTTGCCCCTGAAGAAGAAAGGTCCACCTTTCGAAAGCAAAGCATTGCGGTTATAGGGTTTTTATTCATTACTATTATTATAAAGTTTTTGTGCATTATGCATAAAGAGAACTCAGTTTATGCTTACACAGGGACACATGATTAAGTTTGTAAAAATAACTTGGTGCATAGTGTGTCCTAAGCCTAATAATCTAGTATGTATGCAATACATATCCTGCCTTTTGTACAGTAGTCTGAAACCCAATACATTTTTATAAAATGAATTATAACGTTAGGTTTTGGAAATTATAGTAAAATATTAATGCTTGTATCTCAGTAACTGTTACATGCAAAAATGTCCAGGATAATATTTCATCAGTGCATTTCTGCATCATGAATTAAATTCAAAACTTCATTACTGGAGTTGTTTTTTAAATAATTATAGCATTATACCCCAGAATCAATACAAAGTATAGATTTAAGCAATTTTGACTAGAAAAAAAAACAAAAAACATTTTCTTGGTTTTGCTGGCTGATTTCAGTAGTTAACCAGTAATCTATAGTTTTTATTTGTTTTTTGTGACCAAAGCAAAATAGTTATTTCACTATCTGCAGTACATTAGGCTTATTTACAGTGTAGGGCAGAAAAAAAAAACACAATGTCAGTTTTCACTATACCATTGCATGATGGTCTGTTAATTTGAATATATTTGATCACTTAAAGTTTTAAAAATCATTAATAAAATATTTTGTACCATTTTAATAAATCGTTATCATTGATCTGTTTCAACCAGCATTTTCAAATAGAAATTTACCAATCTGTATTTTACAGATTATATCAATACATTTTCAAATGATGACCATTATTTCAAACTAAGCAACTATGTAAAAATCATGTAAAACAGGTATTCACTAACTTTTCCTTCCAATTTTTCTATAGTTAAGTCATACTGGATGGAGCTTGTATTCTCTCCAACTTTGTAAGTGATGAGAATTTTGAAACCCAGTCTTTCATTCCTCACCCTACAGGTGGTCGTCTGCAAAAACATAATTGATTCTAAGTAAGAAAAAAATTCATTGTATATGAAAAAATACAAAATACTGAAATTACTGTAATTTATACAAAAAAAATTGTGAAATGCTCATTATACAGTATAACTGTTCAAGTAGATTATTGTGCTTAGAACCTTATAAATATAATTTTTTTTCCTAACCAGTGATAAGAAATATTGTTCTTCTCATTTGAAAAGTATCCTATATTTTGTTTTGATAGAAGAAAAATCCAAACAATTTTTAATTTGCATGAAACAAACTAAAGTATTTGAAGGTAAATTGAAGGTATTCAGTGATAAACAATTTGTTCATATTATAGGAAAAGTTTTAAAATAAAAGTCACAAATGAACATATCCACATTAATTTAAATAAAACAAAAAGAATTTAAAAAGTTATTGCACTGAGTCAGTCATTTCCTCTTTACTTAAAAATGCTTCTTTATATACTCTCCACAGGTGTATCAATCACTATATGTTTCAGTTTGCTAGAAAACACAGAGTATTAACTTAATAAAAAGATATATATATAAAAAAGCTGGTAAGTTTTGTGGCATTATTTATCTTAACCTTACAATAGTTTACAATGTATTATGAGACTGACACCACTTTCCCCTAGCAGTGATGTACAGATATTATCAATGGTGCAAAAGAGTATGTAAATTTATGGTCACATGAAATGTTATCTCATGGTCTAATGACTGAATAAAAACTCTGTCATGAGTTTCCATAAGTTAGTTCACAAGAGATAGCTGACAGGTATTGTTGGTGGTTATTGCTCAATGCTGTTAATGATTTTGTAGTTGTGTAAATACAGAATATTGTTATTTTGGAATTAAGTTTTTCTTCTTCTGGTTCATTTTCCTAATTCCTTTATTTATCAAAATATTAACCCTGACATTTATGGTATATTGTTTTTTAATGTTAGTGGCAAATCCTAGCCAGGGACATACTTATTAACTGTGTTTTAGGGAGATATAAATTTTATATTCTAATTGTTCAAAAGTATAAATTTTTTACTTCTGTGGGTGTTATAGGTCAATAAATTTGTTTTTGTGTTTTCAACCCTGGTTGTAGTCCATTACAATGTAAGCATTATATTACAGTGTTTATTACTAAAGCTGTAGCTTGCTACAGTGACTGCAGAATGCTCTTTCACATGGTTCTACAAAATAAAAAGAATCAGATACAATAACTAGTTAAATGAAATTTCGAAAATTTTAACATATCAAAGAAACTTAGATACAGAGAAACTGGCTAACCACTGAATTTGAACCAATTACACAATACTTTTATCCATATACCCAAGTCAAAGGAAATGTATGACTAATGTTAGAAAATTACAAATATTTCTATAAGTATAACAAGCATTAAGGTTTTTTTATAATAAAAGTTACAAGTTTGTTAACAGTAACACATTCTGGTTAACTCTACTACTTAATGGACAGATTTTGAGCTTCTGCAAAAGTTGAGTTTTGAAAGCCAGTCCCATCTTTTTATATTGAGTATAATCTATTCAGAGAAAAAAAAAGTTGGTTCATAACAAATTCTTTTACTTTGGACAAAAAAAATAAATCTTTATAATCTATCATCAGTTGAATTGTACAAATAATTTAAACTTTTATGTAATTAAAATATGAACGTTAAAAAACAAACAAAATATTCTATAAACATTGATGCATAATGGTTACTGATCCCACATACAATCAATAACCACTATCAGCAGCATGGTTTGTGGAGCCTAAACGTGTAATTTTCAGTTTCAAAAACAATGACTTATAAAATAGGCGAATAACACGAAAAATAAATTTCCGCATATAGCTTTTAATTTAGTAAAAAAAATTGTGTGTGACAAGCACTATACATATATCTATATAAAAGAACGATTAAGTTAAATGCACATAGTCCAGTATTTCATTCAACATATTTTTAGTTAACCGAATAGTTACGCACTTTCTACATTGCGTCATGCAACTATAAAAACGTTACTTTCCATATTTAGTTCAAATTCGTTATATGTTGTGTCACCATATCAGATAGCAATTTCTTTATTTCTAAGGTGCAGTCCTTACACAGATGGAATACCTAGAAGCTCGAAATATAAATGACATTGCAACAAAATTATACACGTGGGTGTTGTGATAACCCACACAGCGACTAAAATAATTATGCACACACACAGTTTTGAGGATTACGCCATGTTGACCTCACTCTGATTACACACGTCACAAAAGGTGCATGTTTTCTCTCATAAACTCTATAACTAAGCGTAGGTGCCTCGCACGTGAACACGTATTTTGACGATTGTTTGTTTGTTTTTGAATTACGCGCAAAGCTACACGAGGACTATCTGCGCTAGCCGTCTCTAATTTGGCGCTGTAAGACTAGAGGGAAGGCAGCTAGTCATCACCACCCACTGCCAACTCTTGGGCTACTCTTTTACCAACGAATAGTAGGATTGACCCTTACATTATAATGCCCCCATGGCTGAAAGGGCGAGCATGTTTGGTGTACCGTGGATTCGAACCCACGACCCTCAAATTGCGAGTCGATCGCCCTAACCACCTGGCCATTTTGACGAATAGTTTTACAAACATCGTAGGGCATTTACTATTGTTCTCTCAGATATTGGATGAAAACAGCATAGATACGATCACTAAATAACCAGATCACGTAACTTGTTATGGGAGCGTTGGATGTGAAATAAATATTTCGTTTCTTTGAACATCCATGTATAATCTTAACATTTAAGATTATGAATGGCTGTGAATTATTTACAATGATACTGAGTATCCATTATTATTCAAAATAAAAAGTAGTCAAATATCGTTTTATAATTAGCACTGGAGACAATTTCTAGACAACAGAAAATTTTAAGAATTTGTAAATAAGTAGGAATTTTAACAATGAAAAATGGTTGTAAAACACTGTACTTTTGCTAACTGTTACGTATATAAGAGGTTCTAGTCTGTACTGCGTCACTTCCTCTACTGAACGGCTAGGAAATAATCAAACTGTCCAATAAATTCACAACTTTATCAATTTCCTCTACAAATCCGAGTGCAGTTGTTGATAAGCTAAAGAATGTGTTAAGCCTTTCTGTTAGAAACAACAACAATATTCAAATATAAGAAGACAATTAAAAAACTTAAAAAAATCACAACAAACTTTGCTAGATTGTAAAAAGATCAACATATAATACGTTTTCTTGATTTATCCATCGCATAACAATTATTATAAAACTATTATTTATTTTTCTATGCTGCGAAAGAACTGTACACAATTAATAATTTCACTATATTCTGAATTAAAGTATCACTATCACAAAAGCGAGTTCAATTTTAAACATGTATACAACTATCGGTCTTTAAACATGCTTATAAAAATCTATTGAAAACACCTCAAGCAAAATATTTATTATACTATGCTAAAAAAAAAAAATCAGTTAATCCGTGTACATTTTAACACCATCGATTTTCAAATAAGTACAGAATATGTGCACACCAGTCGTACTTCGGTTTGGGGACTTATTTTGAACATATGACATTTATTTTTCTGCATTTGGTGCACGAGGTGATTTTGTTTTCTCGCGTTGATGCCGATCGATAATGTAAGAGGGCGCGTAGATTCCGTGAAAAAAGGTCAATAATATCGACTAAAGTAAACATGAAATATACCAGAAATGTAGAATGCTATCCAACTGATGTTTCAGTAGATTTTAATTATTATAGTGTAAGTTTTCTCGGATACTGGTATACTAGTTGAAGTATCAGTTCAACGCACAGGGAACGACATTGTGGGTTAGATTCGAACGCCACTCCGAACGAGTTTCTTGTGTGAACATGTTGCGCTATGTAGAATGGATAAGGTTAAAAGTATGTGTAACAAGTCTAGTTTTGGTTCAGGTTTTAAATGTAAACACGCTTTTGTGTTAAATTCAAAATGAAACAAATGTCCGAAATTTTATTTTGATGAAAGGTTCGGAGTCTTAATTAGTTTGAATGAAGACTGTGATAATATTTTATTTATTTCTTTGGCCAAATAAATCGACGAAGAAAAAAATTATCCCAACACTTCCATGGTCAGGTCTCATTCTTAATTCTATTAATTGTGCAAGTTTAAAATCAAAACAAAGTATAGTGTTTGTTTGTTGACTTTTTCGCAAAACTACACGAGGGTTATCTGTGCTATCGGTACATAATTTAGAAGGTTAGATTAAGTGGATGGTAAATAGTCAACACCACTTCCCGCCAACTCTTGAGCTACTCTAATCAAATAGTGAGATTGACTGTCACATTATAACAACTCCATAGCTAAAAGAGCGAAAATGTACAGAGACGGTTTTTACTCCCGCGATCCGCAGATGGCGAGTCAAGCACCCTAACCACCAGGCTATGCCAGGACTCAACTTCAAATAGTATTCCATTTTTAGGAATTAACTGCTTTGTTTATATCACTATCCCCCCTCCCCCCAGTGGCACAGCGGTAAATTTACGGACTTGTTTGTAACATACTAAAAACCGGGTTTCGATACCTATCGTGGACACAACACAGACAATTCATTGTGTAACCTTGTGCTTAACTTCAAACAAGTATATCATTCTTTAGTTTTGCTACCTCTAAAGTTTTGGAGAAATTACATCACTGGGTAGAATGGGATATATTAGACAGAAGATACCATAAAGTATCTTGGAAACAAGACAGCACAACTTGCAAGCAGCACGATTTGTGGTATTATAGAATCAAAATGGCATACTGTAAATCAACTTATCACTTATAATAAAGAAAAGATGGACATTTTATTTACGAGTTAATGCAGTATGTAGCTTATTACTATGGAATCACAAGAACATACAAAATTACTTAACCTACATAAAATATTACGAAATACAGGTAGAATGACAAGACGAATAATGCTCAGTGCTGAGATTCGAACCCGTGACCTAGATATTACGAGTCGACCGCCGAAACCACCAGGCCATGCCAGGCTCAAATACAATAAATGTCGCTCAATGAATAATAGGCAGTGACACTGAATATTAGATAAATTAATTGCAAAACACCTTTACTGTTGTGCTACTTATCCAATTATATATGTGTGTGTGTTTGTCTTTTTAAATAGACGAAGTTTTTTCTACACTGTTATAGTCAGTGAAGTTACTACGGATTCGTGTTTTTGTGGTATGAACGATTTTTGATATTTCGGACATTGCTAATGACTTGTTTGTTTTATTTTGAAATTCAATAAGCAGTTCCTGAAATATTATATATATATATTACACACGAAGAACATTCCCTACCATTCGAGACTGTATAAATGCCACCTTTATAACTAATAAATCGTTCTGTGAGTGCTATCTTTATCGGGAAACCTTGTCAGAATGGTGCTGTGTAAAGTCCAAATCAAACCGACATTCTGACCTTGACTAGAAATAACAAGTTCACTTTGTATTTACGCATGCACGTGTATTAATTCCTGTTTCTAATGGACCCCTTTTTATTGACCTCTAGGATTCAATTTTCGTCAAATTGGGTGATCTGTATCAATTAACTTGATATATAACTACTAGTTAAAATACATTCAAATATGCAAAAAGTTAATACTGATATACAGCTAGCAACAGATGTATTACTATTTTTGTTTATGGTTTTGAATGAGAAAAATAAATCATAGTTGTTATATAGACGTTTACTTCTCACTAATCCTTTTATACAAGTCCAAGAATCAGAATCAACAAAGCAGTAGTTCTCATACTTTAGTCACACGACGACCCCTTTTAATTTACAATTTTTTCGCGGACCCCCAAACCTATCGGTTTTTTTGTTTTGAAACTTGAAAAAAAAAAAAGATTTGTACATGTAAAGCTGTATTCGAAAATTAAATGTTTTAATTTATATAAATTTAATTTTACAAAAAAAATTCAGTCTATAAATAATATTTTTTAAATATTTTTTTTAAATAAAATTTCGGACATGACTCATGAGCCCCCTGGAGTAACCTCGCGGACCCAAGGTTGAGAAACGCTCTATAACATATGTCACCAAAATAATTTGATGTACAACTTGTATTCAACGCAAATAAAATTTAAATCTTTTTCGAAATGAAACTAATAACATTGTGGTGAACCCTCCAGTGGATCAGCGATAAGCCTGTGAGTTGACACCGTTAAAAACCGGGTGTCGATACTCGTGGTGGGCATAGCACAGACAGCCTACTGTGTTGCTTTGCGCTTTACAACCAAACGTTGGTGAAGAATCATTATTACATCAAATTCGTTGCAGTTAAGCGTACATGCTAGTGATAAAATTATTGCCTTTTTCATACAATTAAGAATCAATTCTAAATTATTTATTAGGTTTCGACATCGACTTGAGTTTATAGACCTTCGAAAATGTTTTACGTACTTTTTGTTTTGTTTTTTTCTCCCTGGAGGACCGATTTCGGTCCAGAGGTTAGTGTGTTGGGTTGTAACCTGTTTCCACACACACACACACACACACACACACACACACACATATATATATATATATATATATATATAAAAGGCGCACTCTGCACTTTGGGGCCGTGGGTTTGTTATAATGGTGATGATCAAGTCCCACTTCTTGATTTGAGTAGCCCACGTTAGTGGTGTTGACTAGCTGCCTTCCCTCTAGTTTGTCTAATTGCTTTTGCGCAGAATTACTCGAACAGACATTACGCTACTGAACTGAGTATCTTGTCAATTCAATCAAACATTGAAACAACGCATTATTTTTGTATTATATAATTGGACGGGGTTATGTGATCCAAACATCTCTTATCTCAGAATCTATCTCAACAATGAGTGCCATGTACTTACGACTTGAAATATTTCAGCTTCCCAACTTAAAATATGTACAGTGACTTTGAATGTTAGCAGTCACTCCTCGTTACCATGGCGTTCAATACAACAGAATGGTAAAAATGGCAAATTAAAAAACTTTTACCCAACTCCTGTATTTTAGATGGAGCCCCCATATGTTATATAAATCTCATTATAGGTAAAATGTAGCCCCTAGCCTGTGGAAGATGATTTTGGTACGTACAAGGTATGATGACGTTTTCCAAAATATTTCAGTATATGCTTTAAATATAACAAAGTACGTACTATTTTATTTTGAAATTCAGGAAACAATTCATTAGCAATGTTGAACATATCTCAAAAATTGTTTATTGTACTTTTATCGATTAATTATATAACAAAGAATATTCTTGTACCTCTTTTAAAAAAATAAGGTTGGGGACTCTATGAAAATCTAATAATTTTCAAAATAATACAAACAGTAAAGTTGATTATACGTACAATATTATCGTTGGATTCCGGCATGGTAGAAAGGTCGATCAAATGGGGAGGGAAGCTTCCTGGTTGAATTTGGTGGAACTCCACATGAACATCATTCTAATAAACAATAAAAAACAAAAATGATTAATACTTTTTTTATCATAATATGAAATATATTTATAGGTCGTACTGTATACTGCAAATTAAACGTTTATCGACAGAAGAATCTTATGCAGAATGAGACTTATCTCTGTCTCTTTCTCTCTCATCACACACATACACACGGGGGACTGGTTATATTATACTAAAAATATTTCGAATATGTAAATATATGTGACGTGAAAATAGCCGATATAAGGTCGCGGTGGAACGGAATGTATCAGAACACAAGTTTACATTGTTTGGAGTTTCATCGGAAATGTGATGCTACCAAAAACTGATCGCTTTTCGAAAGCGTATGTAACAACCCTTTCCGATACAAAATATTCATATGCTTAATACGTGTTGAGATTAGGGATTTGGAATTTCCAAGACGGAGAGATCCATTGTTATTAACGGCATTGGAAAACCGAAGAATATGAATCAATTTGAAGCATCGAGATCTTTGAGAAAAAGACCTGTATCGTGAAATACCCAAGTCTTGGTAAGCAAAATGCGGCGTTTTAGAACAGGTGAGAACTCGTAAATGCAGAAGTCAGTGGCAAAAGTTATTTACCAGCCCTAAGCAGTAGTGCACAACATAATCAAGAAGGATCTTCATCTGGAAAAGCGACACATATCACGTGTACACGAGTTACGTTCAACTGTAGGTCAGATTAAGTAAACAGCTGGAGATTGGAACAGGTACCCAAAACGGCGTCTATGGATTTCTATGTTGAAAGGGGCGCTGGGAAACCGTCGACCTTATACACAAGGTGAATTATGAGAATATGTAGGGCGGAGTGATGTGGTTTGAATATGACAACTTTACAGCATAAGTTTTTTGCAATGGAACTAACTACGCTGTATGGCTATTGTCAAGATGTGCACAGTCATCAGACAAAGCATTACTTGACGTGACGACGCTCCAAAGTCGGTCTAATATAACGAATTTAAAATCTGGATAGAATTTCCAAAAATTGTACACAATTATTTAAAATATAAAAAACTGTTTGCTTGAGAAAAGATATTGAGAGAATCATTATTAATATTGTTTGCCTGACCTTATCACAGTTTAAATCTAATACGGCATTGTTCAACAGTGTACCTGTGTTTTCTCGCTGTATCGCTTTGCAAATGTTAAAGATCCGCTATGTATTAAACATTAGTATGTCAAGAAATTCGTGAAGCCTAAAAATGCTTATAATTTATTATTATTGCTTATTTTTTTATTTTTTTGCCTTAGTTGTCCACACCACCTTTAACGAAGGTTTCATGTAAAAACATCAACGGGATAATGCGTGAGCTTAAGCATATCAGGAAGAACATGAAAGCTTGTTTAGGGTTATAATAAACGTTTAAATATATTTAGTTCCGTTCACCTAATTTCCTGAAGTATACGAAAGTTGTTTGAAGTTTACAATCAAAACAGGTCCTGACCCAGTGACAGCCATCCACGTACATGGTAGGCGTTTACAAAACGATCCAAATAACAGCACTATGACATGAGATAATACAATTTAAAAACGCGATTAAGAAAAGGCTTAAATAAAGTTAAAATGAATAGTTAACATTTAAACATAGACGAATAATAAAAAAACCTTACAGTTTCATTTTTTAAACAAAAATATACCGGATATAAACACAAACAAAATTAGCACATAGGATATATAAAATTAGAGATATTGAAAACAACCCTTAAGCTCGGCGACTTCGACGAGTTTGCTCTTCTGAACAGAACAACTCGTGCTTTGAAAGCGAATGAGGTTTTAGGTCGTTTTCGGTAGTGTTAACATCGTTTTTCATTTATTCAAAAGTACATATAACGTAACAATGTTCTTGTTCTGTTTGAATTGTTAAAGTACGTCTTACCTTTTACACAACTTATGTTTGGTTGTTGTTAAGTGTAAAGCTACACAATGAGCTGTGCTCTTTCCACCATGGGTATCGAAACGGAAGCCTACAGACATGCCGCTGAGACACTGGTGGAGCCACATTTTATGTATTTAAAGCTAGTTGCAGAAAAAAAAAGCCTATTTCGAAAACATTTTTTAAAAGGTCAGGTAATGCTGAACGTACGAAAACTTTAGATATTTCACACACACCATAATGTAATGAAAGTAAAAAGGAATGTCAAATGTATTCATTTAGTATACAGGCCATGCTTCCTAACTTACAAACGTAATCGTTTAGTATACAGGCCATGCTTCCTAACTTACAAACGTGTTCATTTGGCATACATGCCATGCTTCCTAGCTTACAAACGTGTTCATTTAGTATACATGCCACCTTTTTAACTTACAAACGTGTTCATTTAGTATACATGCCACCTTTCTTAACTTCCAAACGTAATCATTCAGTATACAGATCATGTTTCTTAACTTCCAAACGTATTCATTTAGCATACAGGTCATGTTTCTTAACTTACAAACTTGTTCATTTAGTATACAGCCCATGCTTCCTAACTTACAAACGTGTTCATTTAGTATACATGCCACCTTTTTCACTTACAAACGTGTTCATTTAGTATACATGCCACCTTTCTTAACTTCCAAACGTAATCATTCAGTATACAGATCATGTTTCTTAACTTCCAAACGTATTCATTTAGTATACAGGCCACGCTTCCTAACTTACAAACGTATTCGTTTAGTATACAGGCCATGCTTCCTAACTTACAAACGTAATCGTTTAGTATACAGGCCATGCTTCCTAACTTACAAACGTGTTCATTTGGTATACGTGCCATGCTTCCTAACTTATAAACGTATTCATTTAGCATACAGGTCAAGTTTCTTAACTTCCAAACGTATTCATTTAGCATACAGGTCATGTTTCTTAACTTCCAAACGTATTCATTTAGCACACAGGTCATGTTTCTTAACTTCCAAACGTATTCATTTAGCACACAGGTCAAGTTTCTTAACTTACAAATGTATTTATTTAGCATACAGGTTAAGTTTCTTAACTTACAAATGTATTCATTTAGCATACAGGTTAAGTTTCTTAACTTACAAATGTATTCATTTAGCATACAGGTT